TGCTTCCCTTAGAAACCACCCTGTTCTCTAAGCCGGTTCACAACGCTGAACCTACTTTTGGCATATAGTTTGTCTTTATTCTCCCCTGTGGCTCTTATTATTAATAGTACTGATAGTAGAGCTAATACATAGCATTCACCATGTACCAAACATTGTCTAAGCACTTTACATGTATAAACTCATTTAATCCTCTCAACAACCCTCTGAAGTAGTTACTATTATTATCCCCATTTGACAGATGAGGAAACTAAAGCATAAAGAGATTAAGTAACTTGTCCAAAGTCACATGGCTAATAAGTGACAAAAATAAGGAAATGAACTTGCACAATCTGGGCCTGAATTCCATATTCTTAATAACTGTATGACACCACTTCTCATCCTACATTATTTCTTCCCTCATACAACTATTTAGAAGGTAAAATGTTGTTCCTAGCTGTCTCTAAGCAATTTCACTTCCATTTCATTTTTTTGAAGGGTATCTATTCTTCTGAAGTTTCTTTCTACTATCCCAAGTATTTTAAGATCATGGGAATTATTCAGATAAATCATCAAAATGCTTTGCTTCCAAAGTTTCCATTACCGTGCTTTTTACTTAATTTCTGTCCTTTCTCTCCATCCCACTGTGTTTCTTTAAACCACAGTTGCAAGTGGGTATTCTTGCAGCCTGGGCTGCCACCTTCAGCGCTTCATTGATCTTTGAGATTCTTACTTTCCTAAAGGACAGTGACAGTGGCGTAATTACCTGGCAACCAGTAGTAAAAGTAATTTGAATTTAAATCTCTTAGTATTTCTTTCTTTAGGAATTTATGTAATCCTGTTCCCCTTAATATTTTAGGGAGTATGTTAGGGGCACAATAAAGGGAGGCAAAGGGACATGATTTTGCGTCTGATTAAGAAGTGGTTGGGTTTCTTTCCTTTAAGATTTCAGATTTGAAGTTTTTGCACCTTTTATCCAGTCTTCCCACAGGCTTTGAGGTTTATTCATCTTTAACCAGAAGGGAGATTTTAAATGTTTTTGCTTATTGAATGTAAATGTATTGAAAGCACAAGGAGGCATCATTTAATACTTCCTTGTTAATTTTTTAAATGAAAATCAATCATTCAAATCATCCCTCACCCAACCTTTCTAAATTCTAAGACATTAAAGTTAATATCAATTAAATAATGGATTAATATTTCTAATTGCCAGCATATATGTTTTGTATCACATTTATGACAAAACAATTATACTTTTAAGTCTGTTCTTGTAGACTTTATAGTGCTTCTGAGTCCTTTGCACACTGAATTTAGGTGCATTTCACAGGACTTAGTGAAGGGTTATGGTGGTGGAAGTTTATGGTTGTTACTTGACTGTTGTGAAAAATTGCTTGTCTTTCTATATCTGTTGCCAAAGCCACTGGCCAGAAAATCCACCCTTTATTTTACACCCTTGTCTTTTGGCACATGAAATCTTCCCAGTAGCCCACTTGATAATGTAATTTGCAGGTAGGTGATTACCAACCAGAGTAAACCCGGGGCTCTGTGTTCATGATGTAGCCATAAACTGTGCAGTATTTGCCTCATGTTTATGTGTGTGAGGTAGCCCTGGGGGCCTGTATGCAGGGTAAGCTCTGTTCAAAGTCACATCAAAACTATACTTAGTAGTCAGGGGAATCATTTCTAACCAGTGGCTTTTAAGGGCCAAAGGAAGAGAGGTGGTTTAAGGATTTGTGAATGATTGATAGCATTAAAAATACTTTGTAAATGAGTTGTGTGTTTTATTATCCGGGATGGAGGAATGCGGCACTTTCAAAACACCTATCAAACGGGTAGCAAAATTCCCACATAGAATTGGGTTTCCACCAGGAAGGACAACAGATATTAATGGCATCATCTCAGTTGCTCAATTACTCAATTACTTGCAGTAATTAGGGAAAGGGTCAGTTTAAATTAAAGTATTGAATTACAGAATACTTCATGTTAAGTAAAAGAGGTATTCTTCAAGAATTGCTGTGGAATACTATGGATTTGGCTTAACAGATCTTTCCTATAACTGGCACAGCCTTTGTGAACGGACCACCAGGAATTGGGCTTTGAAATTGGTTCAGCCCAAATGTATGATATTTTGGTGTGTTTAAAATTAAGGAAATTAAAAAAGCAGAATGCATAATAAATATGCCAAGATTAATCCTCAAAGTCACATCAGTCCTCTTTTGAAGTTGTCTTTTCTGTGACATCCAGTGGGTTAGCATAAACTTGCCAGATGTTCAATGGCCCTGAAAAGAAAATCACAACACAGAGGCCAAAACCTAGATACTTAGTTAAATAATCCAGTTCTTAGAAACACTACGAGCTGTGCATATCTGGATCATTTCTCTGGTCCTTCACTAGTTACTTCCAGTGTAATTAAAGCCCCTTTAAAATTGAATTCCTAACATAATCAGAGGCACATTTCCAGGACTGTGAGGCTGCTTCAAGATGCGATTAGAGGGGGGCCTAAGTCAGGTGAGCATCAGGAATCATCAGTAGAGGTGGGCAAAGCCCTGAAAATGAGCAATTATCATCATATGTCACATTTCTCATCTCTTTTGCAACAGGACTACATAAAAGGAAAGTGCAGGGGTGTTTTAATGGCCTCAGCTGCCATTTGTGTGTGTGCCTAAATTTACATGTTGTAACCTGATGTATATTCATGTCTGCAAATTACACTTGAAAATAAACTAATGATGCCAACGTCTGCTGACATTAAGCAGTGGGAAATTTTGTAAAGGATTTAGACCTTTCTCTGCACTGAGTTTTATCTTTGTAGAATCTATGTACAACACACTTTCTCTACGTTTATTGTGTCTTATGAGCCTCGTTGCTTATGAGAGAAAAAGCAAGTCAATGGAATAGAAATTTTTTTCTTCCTTTCAGACCAAAGGACAGGTTGGGATTTTTTTTTCTTCCTCAAATATTTTTTAAATCTATCTTTTAAATCCAAACTCTCTGCTGGTGATATTTTTGTTCTTATAAAGACCACACTTTTCTTTCCTCAGTTTCATCCCGTTTCTTCATGTTCTGTGATATTGCTGTGGTATCAATCCCAGCTCATAATTATTTGCCTCCCGTTTAGCCACAAGGTGTAAATTTGCTACCTGAAAAGGCGTGCTCTGACAGTTAATCTCCATGTGTGTCCAAAGGCTGATCTGGCCGCACTGGATAATTTCCCTGGGGGATTGTTCTGTAGAATGGGGGGCCATTTGTTGAGCTGTCTCATGTGGGAGACAAGAAGATGAAAGGACTGCCAGAGAGAAACGGGATCATACGGTGGCTTTCAGAGCAAAAAGGAAATCAAAGGACAATTTCAGGTCCAGTCTAGTTCCCCAAGCATGTTTCTGGAACTAGGGAAGCAGGGATATTTTCTTGTTAGTGTTTTTAGAGAAGTCACCGAGAGAGAGTCCAAAATTAGTAGGTTCTGGCAAATTTAGTCATGCCTGCGGGCTGTACTCAGAAATTATCTCCAGCCTAAACTCTTCCGTTTGTGCCTGAGCCTTACAAGTTCTTCAAGGGTCTGCAAAAGTGTTTGGGACCAGAAGAAAAAATATATGTTAACATTGACTCTAAGATCCAAAAATTATCTACAAGATTATGAAATGTTTAATTGAATGTCGACAAAATATGTACTATCAACTTCATTAAGTATTAAATTTAGCCTTCTTAAAAATTACATGAAACCAAATCACAGATTCAGTTTTCTCACTTTCCAAGATTTCTAGCATGCCAATCATGAATTAAGTGAATTGCATATAGCCAATAATTTGAAATGCAAAATTATAAGAATCCTTTCCATTTTTTTTTTTTTTTACACAAAAACGTATATCGTAGGTGGGATGTGAGGGCATCTTCACGTTCTTTCTGTGATATGTGTGGTAGGACTAAAAAAAGAGAGCCCAGGGCCCACGAAGATTTTAAAACAGCTCTGCCCTCATCTTCTCTTCTCCGAGTGTGTGATTAGTCCTGAAGACACAGGTTAGCAAAGACGCTAATTGGAGAACCAGTGTCTTCTTGCTGTATGCACCCGTAGTTGAGGTGAAGTGACAGAGGCGGTGGTCTGATCACGAGGAAGTTCCCAAGGCAACTGCATACCCTTGGAAAGATCACAGGACAGTGCCTGGTTCTGTTGAAGAGGGAGTGTTCGTATTAAGCGGGGGAAGCAAAGCTGTCCAGTTTGGGACATGTTAGAAGAGCACCAGTGTCCCATGTCTGAGTTGTGTTCTCTCCCAACAGATGACCGGCTCTCACGTGCCCTTGTGTTTTAGTCAACTTTTCTCAGTGTGACAGATATTTCCTTTTTTAGAATGGAAAATGTGAAGTGGTGGGGCAGGAAAGAAGGTGGATTATCTGGATTCCATGTGTGATGACCTTAGTCTTTCCTCCAAAGGCTTAACGTCTTCAGGCTTTTATTTTATTCATCACACTTGGGACGGTGAATGTCAGTTCCCTCCGAAAGATAAGGAATATGACAGGTCCTTGTAATCCCAGCCCCAAATGACGACCACTGATAAGAATAACCACTAATGATTCTTGCAGAACTTTTTTCTTTACATATACTGCAGTATTATTAATTTATTTTCTTTTATAAAATGAGGTAATAAATAAGGCTTTTAAATTTTTTTCACTTAACGATGTATCTTAGATAGTTTTCCTTGTCAACACATGTGTACTTAGCTCATTCATTGTAGTGGCCACATGACATTCCACTGGATGGCTGGACCACAATTGATTTAACTGCCCTCTGTTACTGGACATTTAAGTTGGCCATTCGGCTTTGATCTTTCAAGCGAAAGTACCATATGCCTAAATAAACCATGATATATTAGCTAGAAATAGACACTCTTGACCCCCTGCGTTGGCATAGTCCTTCCCAGGAGCAGAAAGAACCAAATCTTTCCCTATACTGATGCTTGTGATTAAATGTAAAACCTATACGTGTTTAGTTATTTCTGTGTCTTCTGTTTCTGCCTTTTCCTCTTACGCAGTCATCTGCAGCCAGGGACAAGGATGAACAGGCTCTACCGGTAGGAAGCAGTGGCCTTGCCTGTACCTGTTCATGTGCCTGTGGAGAGTGTGAGGGCAGGGGTGGGCGGAAGGGGCTCTTGTGCTCAACATCCTCTCCCTTGGAATACTTAAAGGGTTTAATCTGCCGGTGTGTGTATGCTCTGTCCTATAATTAGTGTCAACTGAATTCTTACATTCAATGACAAATTATTTCTGGGACTGGGTTTCAGAAAGTTTGCGTTCTCTCTTTCACTTGGCATGGAAAAGTTGAAAGAGTGAGATATTTCCAAACTACATTCCAAGGGATGTTGAGCAGATATTTGGGGACAGCGAGGGATCTAATGCTTGGTATCTGTTTGTGTACCTGCATGCACCTATTTTCTTGGTTGGAAGTTTCTTTTGGTTCCATCAAAAGAAATGCTGCATGAGATCTATATATTCAATATATACATAATGCCCCGAAGACTGCTTTAAGTTCTGTAGACATGATCCTAGGCTAATGAAGATTTCCACAAGAGGGTTCTTTCGGTTTCCCAAAATAAGGACCATAGTAACAGTGATTATGACAAACTATTAACCACAAACACATTTTCCAGTTTCTGTCCAATTAACATGTCACATTTTGTATTGTGCAGCTTGGCAAGGAAATGACCATCAGTTTTTGTGTTCAGCCATCAAACAGTGATTACATTTCAACTCTATTCAAATCTTTTAACCTTGCCCCTAAAATTTTTTGAGCCTTAATCTTCTGAATCAAATAACACAATGCATTAAAAAATGTTCCAGATTTTTGAGGCTGGAAGGACTAGTAATGAAGATACATATGACCCCATTCTTCCTCCTGTGATGCTCAGAGCAGAGACTTCTGACATGCATTGAGAACCCATAGGATATGCCTGATCCAGTACTGGGCTAGGGGTGCAGACCCAGTCTCTTCCTTTGTGAATCATGATCTGGTTCACCAATGAGACACCAGTAATCCCCTCTGATTCTTCTCCAAACCCTGTAGAGTTGGAAATATTATTTCTAATAGAATATCAACTATAATAAAATCACACTAAAAAATTCAGATTTCTCCATGTATCTCACACTGACATTTTACCCATACTTCAAGCTTACTCTGGGTTTCATGTTTGTCTCCAAACATGTGGCTCAGTTTCAATAAGTATTCTGTAAAACAAGGGACGAATGGGCAATAGTTTGGAAACACCGTCCAAGTTAATCAAGTTAACCATATTTCTTTAGTGTTAGACTTAGTGGTCTAATGTGTATCTTAAAACTCTAAAGGTGAGTTGGTCTAGGATGTAGCAATGTCCAAATATATTTGGTCATGGAGTCTCTTGTGGGACTTTTCTTGGGAAACCCCCTTGTGGATCTGGAGTGTGATGGAATATTTTGCAAAACCCTGTAATGTAAAGGACTCTTTGGAGCCAGGAAGGTTCTCTGTGGATTCATAATAGGAGATTCTCTCTCTTCAAATCTCATTTAACATAGACTGTAAGGCTTCATGGATGAGAGCTGTGGTTCCCATCGTGGAGATGAGGTACCCCGGAATGTGTGCAGGATGTCCCTTTGTGGAGCAAGGGGGAAATATTAGCACCTCTATTGTTTACTTTCTTTGTTACTCTTCATTATTTCTACGTTTGCAAATGTTTTATGATATATATGCCCATATTTTAGTATGTGTCTGGATATAGATAGAGATACATATGGATATAGATACAGATATAGATAGATGCATATATACACACTCAAAAATTTGACTGATAGGAGGCACAATACAGACATCTTAGAGACCACCCACTGGTTCAGAGAACAGATTTTGAGTGAAGCAGACCTGCAAGCCATTCCTCTATCCTCCATTTTTTATCTGTGTGACCTGAATACCTCATTTCGCTTCTCTGAGACTAAATTTCCTCATCTGTCTAAAGGGAACAATAATGGTATCTAGTTCATAGGGTTCAGTCAGAGAATGGAGGTGAAGGCTATGGCACGTTGACTAGCATATAATAAGTTCTCAACAGATGATAGCAATGAATCCCTTTAGTAGGAAAGGATGTGAGAATGCCATTCCTTCAGGAGACTTTGAAGGAATGTGCGCGGGAAATCTTTGGTTCCGTTGTGTGTGAGCCTCTGACAGACTAGGTGAGGACTTGCCTTGCGTTTCTGAGCACTAACGGCTTCTTTGTCTGGTCCCTCTGCTCAGGCGAAGCCGCGTCTGCAGCGGGGTGGAAGCTCCGCCTCCCTCCACAACAGTCTCATGAGGAACAGCATCTTCCAGCTCATGATACACACCCTCGACCCGCTCGCTGAAGGTAAACATCAGGCTTTCGCTTGGTGGGGCGGGGGGAGACGATGTGCAAAGTCCTCTTTTCATAAAATACGTTCACTCTTCCGTCACAAACCGGCTGATGTCCGCGTGTTAACCTCTGCCAGAGGCAGCCCTGGCCCTTCTGCGTGCTTATCTGCAACCGCCCAGCTCACGATCAGAGATTTTTCACCAGGAGCAGGAGTGGCGGTCCGTTCGCTGATTCTGTCTTTTGATGCCTCTAGCATATATACAGTCTGCTACGAGGCGGAGAAGACAAGAGTGGTTTCCCTCCCTTCCAGCTAGAGTAACAGTTCTCTTTCGTCATCCTCCTAAGTTTCAAAATGAAGTTATAGGTGAAGAAAAATTGATAAATTGTACATCTTAAAAAAAGAAAAGGGCTTCCCTGGTGGCGCAGTGGTTGAGGGTCCGCCTGCCGATGCAGGGGACACGGGTTCATGGCCCGGTCCGGGAAGATCCCACGTGCCGCGGAGCGGCTCGGCCCGTGAGCCATGGCCGCTGAGCCTGCGCATCCGGAGCCTGTGCTCCGCAACGGGAGGGGCCACAGCAGTGAGAGGCCCGCGTACCGCAAAAAAAAAAAAGAAAAAGAGGAGACAAGAACTCCATGACTTAGGAGGGCTGTGATTAGTTTGGGGAACGATGTTCACTGCACAGCACTGATGTTGTATCTATTCTTTGGCAATTGGAAGATGGGAGGTGAGCTTCTAAGCACCCAAAGAGCGCTCTCTAAATAACTGCTTGGGATCAGACTGATGAGGCCTGGTTCACCTCCTCGGGACATTATACAAACCATCACCAAGAATTGAGTATTGTGTTCTTCCAGTTTTACTCATTCACAAGGAAGCCAGGTACATCTTGTTTCTTGAATTGCATAAGTATCCTAAAAAGTTAATTTTTCAAGGAAGCAGATATCTGATGCATCAAATAAATATCAGAGTTAGGCTACTAGCAAAGGGTTCAAATATAACGAAGTCTTCTGTTCTCCCTTCATCCCTGGACCTTACAGTGAGGCCTGATGTTACACGGAGGCGAATGGCCTGGGAAACAGGTCTCTGCCAGTGACAAATTATCCCCACATAAATCAGAGCTCTAAAGCAATATAAAGCTTGGCTAAATAATTTCAAGGGTTCAGGCCATCAGGAGATTCAGGTGCAGTCAAGAAAACTCTGGGACCTCAAGAGCGGCTCCCCAGGTCCTGTCTCCCCTCGTTGGACACGCACCTTCACCCAGAATAATAAGTGAGGATCACGGGCTCACCTCTCACTGTGGAGCATTTCAGTTATAAAACATTTCCGCCTTATACCCCAGAGAGTTACGTAGCTGATGTGATATTTTCCAAAGAGCCTTCTTTCATAGATCCTGGTTTCTGTTTACTCAGGTAATCGTTTGCCGGGAACATCCTAAAAAGCATTACTCTCTTTACCAGAGGTCCACATGACAAGGAAATTAGCCCTGGCCACTAGCCTTCTTTTCCTCCCCAGCAGGGTCACCCCCACAAAAATGATCTCAGGGAGTGAAGGGATCGCAGGCCAACCTCCGCCCAGCCACGAAGCATTTGTGTGACTTTGGGCAACTTAGAGCCTCTCTGGTACTTGGTTCTTTCACCTACAGTAATAGTTACCTTTGTCTGGTACTTTATAATTGACAAAGTATTTTCACACCTGTGAATCTTTGCTTTATAATAACACTTCATAGCTAACATTATTATTCTAATTTCATAAAATAGGGTACCACCAAAATAGATCTCAAATGTGTCTCCTTCTCCCTCTGCCAGCTCTTTATTCCAAGCCATCTTCATCGCTTCCTAGCTGGTCTTCCACTTCCTCCGTTGCCTCTTTGCATACTTTCCACACAGCAGCCCAAGTAATCTTCTTAAAAAGTAAATCAAATTATGTCACTCCTATTAACCTACAGTGGCTTCTCGTGGCTCTTAGGAAAATTGTGAAATACTTGCCACGGTCTGCATGATCTTTCTCTTTCTCCAAACTCACGCTGACTCACTTTGCTTTAGCCAGACAGAGGCCTTCTGTCGTAAAACAGATACTTCTTTCCTGCCTCAGGGTCTTTGCATAGGCTGTTCCCCCCACCCAGAATACTTTTCTTTCTCCTATTTTCTTCCACTTTTGCCAGCTTTATTCCTGCCCCTTCTTCAGTGCTCTGTGTAAATGACACCTCCTGACCATCCAGTGTATATCAGGGCCCCAATCATTCTCTCTCAATGCACCCTTTAATTTTTCCTTTTGGCCCACATTACAATTTGTGTGGTTATTTGTTCACTGCCTGTCTCCCCCAGGACATGGTAAATTTTTAGAGAGCAGGGATTCTGTTTATTTACTAGTTGTCCCCAAGATCTAGCAGTCTACCTGGCACATGGTAGCTGCTAAGCCTTAGAAGAATTAAGCAACTTGGCCAAAGTCATGCTTTTGCTCTGTTAGTCACACAATTTCAAAGCCCTCTAAAGCCCCATGGGTTTAAGATTGTATCTTGGTTATTTTGAGCCACCATCTTCTCCACCTATCATCCAAAACAGTCAGGTGAGAGAAGAAATGAACTATCTTATCTGCCCCAACTTGATTTTGAGCAGGCAGGCAACTGGGTATATTTATTTCTGGCAAGGCACGTTATGTAGTAATTGAGGACAGACTCCAGAGGCAGACTCTCTGGATTCAGATTCCAGCTCTGCATTTATTAGCTGTGTGACCTTCGATAAGTTACTTAACCTCTCTGTACCTCAGTTTCCTCACCTGTAAAAATCAGGATGATATATAATGATGTCTACATCATAAGGTTGTTATAAGGACTAGAGGAGTGAATATACGTTAAGCATTGAACACATTGCCTAGCAGATCGCAAGCACCATATACAGGTTTGAATTACTCTGTTCCATTATTTTGAAAAATAATGCAGCATATGAATGTTTTAATTTAAAACATTCAAAAGGCTATGCGGAAAAAAAAAGTCTTCCTCCTCCAACAACCTCCCAATTTTCTCCAGTCCCCCAATTCTCCCAGAGGAAACCACATCTACCAATTTCTTGGGGCTCATTCCAGAGATGATCTATGCATATACAACTCTGTGTGTGTGTGTGTGTGTGTCGTTGACCATAGGTCTCAACAATCTAAATTTCTGTGGTTTTTGTTTGAGGGAGTTCAGTTTCTGGTAGGGCTTGTTTTTGTTTTTCTGTTTGGTGGGGAGGTTATACTTTGTGAGATAAGAGAGAGTGAATCTGAGTTGTCTCAGAGTTGGGCCATCAGTGATTTTCCGAAACACTTGGCCCTTGTAGGACTGTGCTGCTATTAAAATGTTTGTTCCTGCTGTACCAAGATGTGCCTTCCAAATCTGGATGTCTGCTTTCAAGGTGAAACCTCTCCCCGAAAGACGTGGAGTGCTCTAGTGGTGTGAATCTGGGAGAATGCTGAGAGCCATAATCAGTTCTGGACTTGAGTGATTAGAAAATATAGAAAGTACTTCAATGCTTTAAAATTGCTCCATAGCACGCGGCCAAGAAAGCAGATTGCTCTGGTATTTTTCCCCCAAAAAAATTCACAATCATTTTCCATTCCAAGAACATTCCAAGCTCTCAGAAATAGTCATCTCTCTTTTAGTTTCATCTAATCACTTGAGTTCACACATCCGCATGCCAAACTGTCACCTTTTAACAATATAGAGCATGCTGGTTACATCACCAAGCTGACCCCATGAACCACTGCAGTGGCTTCTCTGTTATACTAATGGTTGTTCCTGGCGTCTGCCTTGCTGAGTCGTGCACTGGCACCACATGGCAGACAGTGTTCATAAAGAGAAGTTTTCAACATCACCTAGGACAGATGACCTATGGAAAGACAGTCAATGCCCTTCCCCAGGGCACTGATTCCTACACTAGTTGCCACCTTATTATGGGGGCCTAATTGTTTGCTTGTTTGCTTATTGGCCTTGGGCTCTCTTGGCCCCATTGTTTCCCTGTTGCTGGAGGAGGAGGGTGCTGAAATATTTGTTACAGCAGAAAATTAAACTGAACTACTAAAAAAAAAAAAAAATGCCCTTTTTCTCATCTGTGCCATTCCGGTGTCAATCCAGTGATGGAGCCCTTACTAAAAGCTTTAATTGGTACTCAGTTGGGCCTCTGAGCCCGAGCCACGAGATCCAGCAGTGTTTGTGTTTGTTATCTAATGATATGTAACAGAGCACCCAAGACTTAGTGGCTTAAAAAACTACAAATAGAACTACCATATGACCCAGCAATCCCACTACTGGGCATATACCCTGAGAAAACCATAATTCAAAAAGAGTCATTTACCAAAATGTTCATTGCAGCTCTATTTACAATAGCCCGGAGATGGAAACAACCTAAGTGTCCATCATCGGATGAACGGATAAAGAAGATGTGGCACATATATACAATGGAATATTACTCAGCCATAAAAAGAAACGAAATTGAGCTATTTGTAATGAGGTGGATAGACCTAGAGTCTGTCATACAGAGTGAAGTAAGTCAGAAAGAGAAACACAAATACCATATGCTAACACATATATATGGAATTTAAGAAAAAAAAATGTCATGAAGAATCTGGGGGTAAGACAGGAATAAAGACACAGACCTACTAGAGAATGGACTTGAGGATATGGGGAGCGGGAAGGGTAAGCTGTGACAAAGCGAGAGAGAGGCATGGACATATATACACTAACAAACGTAAAATAGATAGCTAGTGGGAAGCAGCCACATAGCACAGGGAGATCAGCTCGGTGCTTTGTGACCACCTGGAGGGGTGGGATAGGGAGGGTGGGAGGGAGGGAGACGCAAGAGGGAAGAGAGATGGGAACATATGTATATGTATAACTGATTCACTTTGTTATAAAGCAGAAACTAACAAACCATTGTAAAGCAATTATACTCCAATAAAGATGTAAAAAAAAAAAAACCACCCCCATATTATTCCTGCTCGTGATTTCATGGATCAGGAATTTGAGTGATTCGGGGATCAGTGG